TTTTCTACCCTCAGACAAGTATTCGTAGACATTCTAGCCAGCTCGTAGTGATTTCAAAATGGCAGGATTGCTGTGCAATGCATTATTTTTAGGCCCATTTACGCGAGTTTGCTTTTGTTTACATATGCTCTGTTGTTTTTCGCTGCTTGCTCACTGCAATTCCTCGAGTCCACTTATCGCCGCGTATAACTGCATGGAAATTTTTGCAGAAAGCATGACTCGAATGTGCGAATGAGTAATATAACTCGATTTTTAGCTGTCATTATAGCCAATGCACTCGTCACTATGCTGTTATGCTTACCATTTGCAGGAGTGCCAATTAGTGATCGGTGTGAATATCAGTCCTTGAAAAATATTCTGAGTAGCATATGTGTTAAGGGGTAACATTCTAGCCACTGTTTATTTGGAATTCTTCATAGCCTAGCGCAGCGCTACTGACTGAAGTGGAAATTGATAGGCATTAGAGCTGCTAAATTCCTTACTGTTCTCCACGACTCGTGTCTGATGAGGAAATTGAACCAATTTTCTCTGTTTTCGTCGTGTTTCATATATAATTTTATATAATTAAACTAGGTCCTTCATGATTTTATTATTCATCCACCGCTCTTCCATTTTCGGTTCGGCAGTAAGGATAGTGCTAAGTGGATGTTGCCGTGGGCCTCAGGGAACGTGCCAACGTTTCTCCCAACGCTCACGTTCGTGTGCTCTCCACCGTCCTTTACGTGGTCGACCTCGTACGCGGTTCCGACTCTTATTACAGATCAGCTTCCCCTCACTTCTCGTCTTGCATATTTCCAATTCCCCTCCCAAAGACCTACTACATTTCTTGTTGCTTAGATTATTATTTTTGGAGCGTTCAGTTGATTAGTTTATCCAGCCTTGTATCAAACATAAATAAGTGCATTTGTGTAACGACAGCTCTTCAATCGTAACAGTCATTCTCAAGGTAGGAATGTGAAGGAGTCCATCTCCGGCGATGAGCTGCGTCGGCACTAGGTTCGCCGTGCCCGGGACCGCATAATCACGGAGCGTTTCGTCAGTGTCTACTCCGCCAGACAACAATTGCACGACCTCTTCCTTGAGAAGATTGGCATCCCCTGGAAGGTGGGCTGTCAATGATTCGCGGATGCGTTTGGTCTATTTGTCTTATTAACTCGCGTTTTGGGTCATTCATGGAAATCCGCTCATTTTATATGGATTGCTTCCCCCCTGCAAGAATATGTTTTATCCGTTTAAAATAAGCTGATCAAGTTTTCGACGTGCAGATTCGCAGAGCCTTAATTTGTCTCCCCGTCTTCATTACATCACTTTACGTGGTATGTTGGAAGGGTGTATTCCTTCGTGTTATGAGTTGCTTAGTTGTCTCTTGTATCACAGAGTCTTTTAAAGCCATATTGTAGTCATGTGGTTGAGCTCTTCTTGTCCTAATGACGACGTAAATTTTCCCGATAGAATGGTACCAGTGGTGCTGGAAATATTATTCATCCTGACTTTAATCATGCCTTGATTTGTGGAATCTTGTCACTCACCAACTGAAGAGCTCTCTCTAAACAACGGTATGCATCGAGTGTTTTTGTGTGCGTCTCAAATGCACCTTATTTTTGATGTTGAAAGCGTAAATAGTAGTTGAAACCTTGAAACCCTTTGACATCTCCGTGGACTGGACTCGCTGTTGGTTTTCGCAGTTTTGAAATCGTTGTGACTCGCCACAAGGCATAATTAGTGCGAATACTTTTGCCAAATAGTTGCAAGACCAAACAAATTACCTCCCAGGCAGCTTATTAATCACTTAGCTCCCGCGAAATGAGCCTCTCTTTTGACTGAGCTACCATTGCTGCAGTTTGAGTTGTGTTCTTCTGGTGTCACATATATGTGACACGCATTTTTCCAACGAAATTCCCCCTAGAACCTCTTGTGGTGCCCTTTAGCACATCCAACGCAATGCAAAGAATAGTGGAAGCGGAGTGCTAGTGACGAAAGAATAAAGGCAGGCAGATGACCTTGAGTCAGGCTATTGTCTAATTTTTTGACCACCATGGGCACAGTTAAGCAGATATAGCGGGATTCATTTGCAGGCTTGCAAATTGCACTCGAATGTGAGTTTTGAAGGACCGCAATGGGGCCTTTTCCTGTTTGATATTGGTTTGATTGAGCAGGTCTCATTGATGTCGCTCCGAATGTCTGCTGACCTTGAGTTAGGCTTGTGAATCATTGCCGACCTCCGTTGACACAATTGAGTAGATTTAACTGAACTTTTTCATGCTGGCAAATTGCACTCGCATTTGAAGTTTGAAGCATCATTTTGCAACCGAATTCTGGTCACTTTTAGCTTGACTGAGCAAACCAGGTTGACGTCCTTGCGAATGACCGTTAACCTTGAGCAAGGCTGGCGAGTATTTTCCTGGCGACCATGGTCACAGTTGAGTAGATTTAACGAAACTCGTTTGCATGCTGCAAAATTGCACTTGAATAGGAGATTTGAAGTATTGTATTGTAGCCTAATATTGTGCAGTTTCGGTTTGACTTCGCGAATCCCATATACTTCTTTCCGAGTACCTGTCGACCTTGTCTTACGCTAGTGAATGCACTCAGGCCGTCCTGTTCACTGTTGGGTACATTTAATCAAACTCATTTCTACTTTTCCAAATTGTGCATGAAAGTGACATTTAAATGATTGCATCGTGGTCTGTTCTTGGTTGGTGTTGGCCTGAATGGGCAATCGTATCTGCTGTCGACCTCAAGTTACACTAGTGAATATATTCCGATTGTCCTATTCACCTTTGAGCAGATATGACCACAGTGACACTTTTATTTGCGCTAAATCCCCGCACTCTCAAATAGTTTGGTTCAGTCAAGCCACGGATTTGCTTAATCGCACAATTCGTCTAGCTTGTAAACGCCCATCTTGGTCAGCAGTGGTGCAGGCCCAGCCCTCATATCTGATCCTCCTTGCCTCAGGCTTGCCTGTTTTAAGAAAAGACAATTTGGAAATCCTTGAACTCGATCAAGAATTTTCTACTTTATCAATACGTTAATAAACCGAAAATTGTTTATCGACAAGCTTTTTGCTTCCTTATTTGTTGAGAGGATTTAAAATTTGCGTGATTTGGCTTTGTCTGTTCAATTATTTCCTAACACAGTCACTGCCATGTTTTCAGCGACAACTATCCAGGTGTTTTATTGTTCCCATTAGGTTTTTTAACCAACTCAATCATTGATGAAGGGAAATAAATGTACAGGTCTCCTCAGTCAATGGTGAATCTACACTGCTTTTTCTGATTTGGAATTAGCTTTTCTTTAGGTGCGACAACTTGGCGCGTTCATTCGCTATATGGTAGTTTAGTATCCGTACCACACATGTGACACTGGGTTCTGAGAAACAGAGATAGGAGGTGAGAGATACAACCTTTTAATGATACATAATCGACGTTCTCTTGTATTAGTTCATGAAATTCATGAAGCCTATTAAATGTATCCACAAATGTCCATTTCATCCCACCCAGAAAGGTGGTTTGTATCTGACCAGTTAGCCAGTTTTCATTGCCGTTCTGTGTGGCGCCGATGATTAGAGTATTTCTCGAACAGCATAAGGTATGTGAATGCTACTACAACACCAAGTTGATGCTAGGTTTCTTTCCCAACCTCAATGGAGACCAAAATCTGATCGTTTTTTATTGTGTTTGACTGCAGAAATTTGGTTGCAGTATTCATGCAAAATGCTACATTGAGAAATTTTCAAACTCTGCTCCGTGTCCTCTCTATCCTCGACGAATAAATGTTGACTTAGCACTTTTTCAGGAGGAGACGTTAGCATCTTTTTTTCAACCTTTCACCCCGAAAACAATTTTTTTGCATCACACATGTGGCATGTGTTCTATTAGTTTTGTATAGTTGGTAGCACCTAGTTGAGAGCTTTACATAGAGGCGGGGTGGTTTTGGTCCATGGTGTAAGGGTTGTGGCGGTCGATGGTCCGCTTCGATCTCCATAACCCACATGTTTGCTCCATGAGTGATGATGCTCCTAGAGGTTTTGGAGGACTTCGAAGTCGTTTCTTATCTGTCGGCAAAATATTAGTGCTAGTAACAGCTTCCTTACAAAATCTCCAAAACAGCCACGTTATTTTTATATTCACGCAGGAGCAAGTTGGATGGGCTCTTGGTTGTATGGATCAAGGCGGAAAATATGTGATGTTTCACTTACTTCATCCTTGAAATCGGTTCCAATTATTCTTGCTCTGCCTAAACGATATTGCCTTATCTACGTAATATGAATTTGTGTTGATTACGGCGGGTGTAAAATATACATACTCATTCGTTTTTAAGGGGTTCTTGCCTGAGTGAATTTATGTTATTAGGATGAATAATAACTATCGCCTCTACTTCAACCTGTCATCTGGTGCCTCCAAATTATTCGTTTTACAACATTCGGCACTGTTAATATGCTCACTTGACCTCCTGCGAGGTCAGGGCAGTTTTATATAAACCACTTCGGGAATGTGACGTCTGGCAGGAATGTAGCGATGCGATCACGGCTCAATTGCCTGGTGCTTATGGTGCATTCTGTAAGCTTGAAGCACTAGAATGATCAGTCTTTTCTTCTGGCAGCGATCCTAATAGGAACAGTGCAAGGCTGCCTAAATCCCTCACCCCCTCCATTCCTGCTCACTAACTCTCCCTTTCCAAGCTATGATGATGTCTCGGTAATTTTGTGTCAATCACTCAATTTTTATGCTGGTGCAGTGCTTTGAGCTGCACAAACGTTGAAGTATTAGTATACCTGCCTCCACCCACGAATAGCCTGAAACATGTCTTCCGCTACCGGTAGACGCTGTCATCTGGCAATCGACTACGCCTTTTAGACCCCCATGAGACCACTTAAATCATGTTGCAATAGAGCCCACTCTCTACAACAAGACATGAGATAATAGCGGTTAGCCCAAATTCCGAGAAATCAACACCCACGCACTACCTCTGGGTGAATTTTGTGCTACTTTTACTTTGATTCTCCTGAACAAAACCTTCAGAAAAAAAGAACACAAGAAATATTAAAGCGGTCATTCACTTGCAGGTGTGTCCGGGGGCTACGTCTAACAAGGACTGACATGCAAACACAAAAGAATGTGAGAAAGAAACATAAAAGAGCCATGGGTAAAGAGCTGACAGCAGGTGCTATGCACCAGTCAGCAAGTGTCTACGTAAGGGCAG